TTAACACTAGTCCTAAAAAGTTAAGTCTTAAAATACCATCTCAAAAATAGATTTATCAAGATATCCCGCATTTCTACATAGGCGGGCTTGGGCGCATAGACGGATTCATCTCAACCCATTTGTTAATTGTCCCGCTATGGAAGTAAAAAACCCACCCTTCAAATTTAGTTTCTATATTTGTCTTACCCAATTTTTTTGTGTCTAAGCATACAATAAGACCATTTACCTTTCGTACAAGAGGGTCACAATTAATCTTTGACTATTGGATGTGAAATTGGATGGCTGCATTTATTCAATTGACCATAGTTCAAACTTCAAAATAAATTTTCTCGAACTTGATACATCCAAGCTATTAAATTTCACATCGAATGGTTATAAGTAATTGTGGCCTCCCTATATCAAGGATAAATGATCGAATTATATATACTCCCTTTTTCTTATTTTTCAAAACCCAAAACCAGCAAGCTTCACATGCAAGTTATGTGAAGCATGATCTCCACCATCCATCAATATTTGATTAAGCATAAAAATCTTCATTAAGCTAATTACCAGCGTTTGAACAACCTTGTATACCTTTCCAATTCTTAATAAGATAAAATGGACGGTGGAGATCATGCTTTACATGCAAGAATATGATGTAAGATCTTGCCTTGAGAAAATATCTGATAATGAAACACTAGGAGAGTGGTTTAGCCTACACCTTTACCTTAATAATTAGGCAAGTATTTACACTGGAAAAGTATTAAGTGAGCTCATGAATTTGGTCTTGATTTTCATGGTATATCTATTTCTGCCATGGAGCCAAGAATTTTGAGCTCAAAAAGTGGTTCATATACGACAATCTTTAAAGAATTAAAATGGTATGTCTAATATATATATATACACAAAAACACTATTGGCCTTTTTCTCCTTCTCTCCTTGTTTTTTTTTTTTTTTTCGTATTCATGATTATGGTGGTCCTGATAATAAATTAGCAAAAATTATAAAATCTATCTCCATGTCCACGGATTTTGGGAGGGTGAAGTCATTGTCATGGTTGCATCCAGGATCGCAAGTCCACAATGCACTTAACCGTACTCTAAAGGCGCGTTTGATTATATTTAGGGGAGGAAAGGAACTTCCTCATTATTATACAGTTCTCATGTTTGATACATAGAATTTAGGGAAAATATCTCCTTATAGTTCTCCCATCAATATATATTTGTATTATATATAAAATATATATTGAAAATTATTTGGTAATAGATTTTATTTATGCAATAGATATTTACAATACAATATCTCATATTTAATATAAAAATAATATCTAATATATAGTATTTTAATAATATTTAAATAGTATTTAAATAAATATAATTATATCTTCCAACGGGTTGTCAAAGACAGGTACCTAGAACTTCTATAGCAGGTTATCAAACACATAGACCTAAAGCTTCTTTATGATTTTCTTTCTTCCCATCAAAGAAGAACTTCTATAAAAACATTTACCATCCAATTATTAAACAGGCCCTAAGTAGCAAAAATTATTGGTTACTTTTTGCAATAACATTGTCAACCAAAAATAAATAAAATTGCAAGTAATAGGGAAACAATTTGGAGCTCTTTGAAATTTTGGAAAATTTTCCAAATATTTGTTTTGACTAATGACTTAAGAAATGCATTGGAGACTTTTAAAAAGCATGTAAACATTGAATTTTTCCCTAAGTGAATCAAATATAGGATTGAGGAATGAAGGAATATTAGCATTTTAAATATTATATATTTAATTTTTCAAACATTTGACAAACGAAGGAATATTATATTTTCAAATTTTATATATTTAATTTTTCAAATATTTGGCTATTCGGCTGTACATACATGCACATATCGCATGAAAAAACCGTGTCCCTTTGAGAGAATCCTTTTTATGGTGAGGAGAATTGAGTCGAATAGAAGAATCAGAGAATCACCTTTATCTCTTTACATGTTGGGTGGGTAAGCTTGGATTCAATCCCTTAAAGCACCGCAACAACAATAAGCAAGTGAAACAATAATAATAATAACAACAATAATAAAAGCAATGAAACACAATTGTTTTAGTCGAGGACTGATGACTGGAAAGACAGTGATTTGCTATCGGACAATCACTTGGACCTAGAATAGGTTCAGATGACCCACACTAAGACTAAGGGCAAGTCTGATGGAGTCCATATTTTCTAGGTTTTTTTTTTGTCTCGGCCAAGCCTGATCAAGGCTAGGGGACATTGGCGAGTCCAAGCTCTCAATTACCGATATCAATTAAAAAGTCCAAAAGAGAAAAACAGAAAACAGATAATAAGCCCAAAAGGCGAAGGGGAAGAAGAGGATTCAATGTTGACAAGGTGAGAGAGAATAAGCAGCAGCATCATATTCTGAATTGGCCGCCCATGAAGGAAAATTTGGCCCTTGCTAATTGGAATGGAATGGAATGGAATGAAATCAACTTGAGAAGAGCATCAAATCCTTATTAGTAAGCAGCCCATGTAACAGAGCTATGAAGGATGCTCTTTTCCTTTTTAAGGACAGTTTCTTTCCCTCTTCCAAGCTTTGGTGAGCCCTTAAGGAACATTTAACACATTCCCTTTCTACCTCATATATCAAATCATCAAATGGAGGGGGGGCTCCACAAGTAGAATCCCACATTCTTCAAAAGACCATATATGGCGTCAGCCACTTATCTCGGATCTTTTGAGCTCCCATATACTGGAAAAGCCAAATCCAAATCCAAATATGTGTACTTTAGTCAGTTGGAATAAATGGAAAATGAAGCAAAATATTCGGTGATCTACCCTTGCTATCATTTGATGCAACAAGTTAACTGCCACAGAAAAACCTAGGTAACTGTGGCACTCACTAAACCCTTCAAAAAGAAGAATATATTTAACTAGGAAAAAAAGAAAAGAAAAAAAAACACATTGGTTTACCTCTCTCCCTCTCTGTCAACAAAATCATCCAGGGGAACCTAACCTTGATTATCTCTCTCCCTCCATTGCGCTATAACAAAATCCATTTCTTCAAATTGGCTACTTCCCCACCACGTTGTAGGGGAATATCTCTCACCTTCCTTCCTAGTAGGCCTCCTCCGACTTTTAGATCCCTAATCCTTCTATAAATATGACTCTTACTCTTACACTCTCTCTCAAGTGTGGAGAAGAACCTTTGGTTTCCTACTGGTTTTGAGTTAAGCCCTTAAAAGCCAATGGCTGGAAGGTTGTCATGTTTAGACTCGCACAGTAATCAGGTCGCGAGCGAGTCAGCGCACGGTGGCCAATTGCTTGAGTCCAAGTCCAAAAGGTGCGACTCCTGTGTAGAGAAGAACCAATTGTGCAAGTGTGGTAGCAAAGAAGGGGAATATGTGAGTTCAAATTTGAAGGGTAAGGTGGGGGTGAGTGGAGTTCGGCACCACCTGAAGGCCTCTAGCTCTTTCCTTCACTCTGTTATCAACATGGTTGGAATGCTGATAGGTAACACCTCTCTCTCTCTCTCTCCTTTTCCACACTCATGTAGGCACACACCTCTGGGTGAATCCTCAATAGGAAATCAATTGCCTTGGCTGCATGGCTGATGGCTCTATTCATGAAGTGGTGTATTTTGGGTTGGTGCTATGGTAGGCCACCATCAATGAAGTTTATAACTGTTTGGCATATGCACGGTTAGAATGACGGTTGGTAACACCTCTCTCCCTCTCTGCACACGATTAAGCTTGCACCTAGAGTGATTCCTAATTGAGAACTCAATTAACATATCTTTATGAGGCGATTTATAAATTAACATACCTTTATAAGATCATTTATAAAGGACTTTATTGGGTTTGGACTACTAGGCCATCATCAATAAAACTTGCAATTTCTTTGGATTTTGTAGGGCTTGGGCAGTTATCCACTCCATATGCTCTCGAGAAAGGTGGGTGGAGCTCAATATTTTTGCTTATAGGATTTGGAATAATATGTACATATGGAGCGCATGTGATGGGAAGATGTCTAGATGAAAACCCGAACTCCAAAAACTTCCAAGACATTGGAGATCATGCATTTGGAAAGAAGGGTAGAATTGTGGTTGCAGCCATTATATATCTTGAGATCTTCCTAACTTTGGTGAATTACACAATCTCTTTAGGAGACAATCTAGGAACCATATTCATCAACAAATCCATCGGTGTAGCGGCCTATGTTCACCTATCTCCAACACACTTCCTAACTGTGTTAGCAGTGTTGATGGCATTGCCTAGTCTATGGTTGAGCGACCTCTCCTCCATATCATTTCTCTCCTCAGGGGGGATTGTGATGTCTCTCCTCCTCTTCACCACAATTGGATGGACTGCAGCTCTCGGTGGTTCAGCAGTGAATCAAAGAATACCTCCTCTTCAACTTCACAACATTCCAGGCATATCCGGTTTGTACATGTTCAGTTATGCTGGCCATGTTGTTTTTCCTAACATTTACAGAGCCATGAAGGATCCCTCAAAATTCACCAAGGTAAGATATCTAAACTCTCCAAACGTTTTTGTCTCTGTTTTTTAGGTTTTTTTTTTCCTACCATTTCCTAGACAAAGTGGCAGTTACTTTTCCTCACATTTCTCATTTTATCTATCTGTGCCATCCTTCCTAGAAAGAGAAGGAAAAGAAAAATGAAACAGAGTTGTAATATTTAAGTAGGTCAATCTCATTCATAAGAAAGGATTAAGAAACGCAAATCATGAATTGGTAACTACTTCCGACAATGAAATCATACATTTCCAAACTGTAAAATGAATAATTCGAAGTCATGAATCACTAATGTCTAACATGCATGGTGTTTGGTTCAGGTCGCGATCGTTAGCTTCACAGTGGTGACTAGTCTCTACACAGCCATAGCCTTCACTGGTGCAAAGCTGTTTGGCCCCGGCATCAATCCTCAAGTGACCCTCAGCATGCCTCGTGACAACGTGATGACCAAGATCGCACTGTGGGCCACCGTGATCACCCCCATGACCAAATACGCACTAGAGTTCTCACCCATTGCACTCCAAATCGAGAACAAACTCCCTTCCACTCTAGGCCCCAGATTAAGAATGGTCATTAGAGCAAGTATAGGGTCCATGATCCTCCTGTTAATCCTTCTCTTGGCACTCATCTTCCCTTACTTTAGTGATGTCCTTGGTTTCACAGGCTCTCTCCTTTGTGTCTTTGTCTCCATCATCTTTCCTTGTGCCTTTTATACCAAGATCTTTCGGTCCCAACTCTCTAAGCCCATAGTGGCCCTCAATCTTTTATTCATAACCATTGGGGCCTTCTTTGGAGTGGTTGGGACCATTGCATCCGGGAAGTCCCTCCTACTCAACATAAGCCAGGGCTCTAGTACAAAGTGAGAAAGCAAGGAAAACCCTCCTTTTTTGTAGCAAAATGGAAAGGCTTCTCAAGTGTTGATGAAAAGCTTCCTCTCTTCTCCACGCATGTCCACGATCTGAGCGAGTGAGGCTTCGTTGCCCGCAGAGATAATCATATGCCTTTTTCTTATGTAGCGAAATAATCTTTCTTTCTTTCTCTTATACATAAGTATATGTATTTGTACTCTTTTGTATCAAGCTGACATCATATATAACAAATCAATCGTAATCTACATCAATGGAAACATGGAATGATGCATTTCTTGAGATGTCTGAAAAAATGGAGCCCTTTCATTGAAGCAAGGTCCTACGGCTTTTGACTGGACAATAAAATTTGATCTTGCATTGTCATTTTGAAAGGCAGGCCAAAATACCATAGGAGAAAACAAAACCAAGCTCACTCTTAAGTGACATACATACATACATACATACATACATACACATACACATACACATAAGTTCACTCACGAGTGTTTTTTAAGTATTTTCACACACACACATGCATGCACGTACACACACACACACATATATTCAGTATAAATAAAATGAGCAATGTTAAAAAAGGCAAAGGCGGGCCTAAGGGAAGGGGTTGGGGTGGGGGCCATAAGTTGTTTTGTGTGTGTGTGTATATGTATGTGTTTAGAGTGTGTGCGCATACGCACATACGTGTGTGTGTTAGGTATCGCATGAAATTCTTAAAGATCATTGTCTTTTTTTCTTTTTCTTTTTTCTTTTGGATATGTATTTGTGAGAGAGAGGTCTCGAACACTTGGAAGATATGGCGCAAGAGAGAGAGAGAGTCTGTGAGAGAGGGAGCTCGCGTCGAACACTTGGAGGTCATCTTCTTCTTACGTGTAAAGATGGAGCATATGGGTCCATGTGTATCTTTGTGTGTGCATGTGTGTGTATGTGAGAGAAATAGACAAAGGTTGTGCATCGAACACTTACATTATATCCTCTTCTTCTCCTCATATGTAGAGGGAGCACATAGACATGAGAGAGAGAGAGAGAAAGAGAGAGAGAAGGGCAATACATATGCCTAATTTTTATTAGGGTAGTGTTCAATTTTTAATTTTTTTTTTGTTTTTTTAAGGGGTGGCGCTGGGTGGATGCCCAGACCCGCCTTGGCCTGCCCTCTCAGACGTAACCTAGGCGGTTTCAGAAAGTGGCCGCCTAGGCAGCAAGGCAGCCAAATTTTCGTTCATTGAAAATGGATATTCTCATTTTGAACGATTAAAGAAGACGAACGTTGAGGTTTGCTAACAAAGTGAAACCATTTCCATCACATATTAGACAAACCCCCCCCCCCCCTCCTCCCCCGACCCTTTCTTTTTCTTTTTTTTTTTTATATTCTTGACTTGTTTTTGTCCCAGCCCCTAGGCATTTTTTTTTTATTCTTCACTTGTTTTTGGCCTCAGGCCGGCCGATAGCCACCCTTACATTTCCAATTAATTACTTTTTTAGAGACAAATGATGGAATATATTACAAGAAGAGATAGTGGTTGACTTGAATAAAGTGGGTTACGTAAACTCCTATTCTAAAGTTTCTCTCCATAGGAACCTACTCTATTCGAATGCCATGTGTCCCCATACTTAACTGTCTGACAATACACATAGAATAGATATATTTAACTAAAATAGGGGCCCTCTTTCTCTTTCTCTCTCTCTCTCTCTCAATTTCTAGAATCACCCAATTTAAAGTTTGCAGTTTGATAATTTACATCCAATAAGATTTAACATGGGGGTGTAGGGTTCTCGGGAACCCTTAGCTTATAGAACTGAGAATCCCAAATACCAAGATCCCACCCAAAATCGTGTACGTGATTGGCTAAATGTGAAATAGATGAATACAACAATAAATCGATTGCAAAAAATAAAGTAAAAATAAAAAACACACCACCAGAAAACATGATTAACGTGGTTCACCACGTAGGGCTACATTAACGGCCCCGGCAAGTAGAAATCCACTATCACAATGAAGATTATAGTTTTGGGTTACAAGAGATATACCTCTCTCTAAACATCGCAAAAAAAACCCTTCACCGATCTTCCCTTCTAAACCCACTCTCCCGATCAAGCAACACCATCAATCAATATTTTCTTTCCCACCGCAATACCGCTACCGGAAAGATAACTTCGAGAGCAACTGAGAAACATTCTCTCTCTAGAAGTGGAAACTAAACTAACCCAAAACTTTATGGGAATACCGTCTCTATCTAATAGTCCATGTCTCTCTCTTGGAAACCCATCTCCTCTTTGGAGATCCATTCTCATAACCCCCAAAGGGATGACCCTCAAAAGGATGGGTATTATGCCTTCATTGAGTCTCTTGTATAGATGTCACTTTCTTGCTTCCCCAGAAAGTCTATTTTCTTTTTACCATAATACCCTTAATCTTTAGAAGAAAATATGAGTATTATGATTTGGCTATCACCAAACCCAACAGGGAGCAATCTCATCTCTTTCTCCCTCTCTCTAAGACACTGTGGCAACTCAGATGGGAAAGACTTCAAGAAGAAGAGCTATTGGCCATTTTCAAGGAAATAACATCTAGGGGAGTACTTCAAGGCATTCCCTTTGAATCACCATCTAGCATGCCTCCTTAAGAATTGGTAAAGGAATTGCTTGTTAATTCATCTATAATCTTTCCCATGACATGTAAATACTAAGAGATTCCAAGAGTGCACGAAAGCAAAAGTTATCATCAAATGAAAATATGCAATAGATTATGGCCTCCAGTCTAATGAAGTCTCTTTCCTTTACCGTTTTGAATGTTAATAAAATCTCTCAGTATGGAGGAGAAAAGTTTGTCCCTTGACAAACCAGTTTTCGCTCACACACATGTGCATGCTCTCACACATTTGTGGACACATGAGCACGCACACAGATTTCAATTTTCACCAGGCAAAACAGAAAATTATTTATGAAAAACCAAGTACACCATCAATCCTATAAAATTTCAAAAGGTGAATTAACTGCTGAAGTCATCTACACATCATAGAATGAGATATGAGATAGAAGACTACATTGTACGAACCCTACATCCTCTTTCTACCCCTGGAAGGGTTCTCAAGTATTGCTTCTGGGTAGCAAAATAGAATTTCTGTCAATACAAAAGAATAGGCGAGGAAATATCCCTTCACACCAATGAAAAATTCTTCAAATTTCATTCATGAAAAGAAAATCTAAGGTTTCCGTTTCAATGATATAGGAAAGTTCTGAGAGAACCAATTGAAGCAAGCAGTTTGGGAGATTGATAAGAATATCTCTCCCTCAACCAAAAAAAAGGGGGGAAAAAAGAACTAGGGAGAAATCACTCTCTAGTCGAGTCTTCACTGGATTCAACTATAATGGATCATGTGCATTGGCTGCCAAAAGAGACGAGTTTTCATAAGGCCAGACTAATACAAATGTTAAAAAGAACTGAATATCAAAAAGGCAGAAAGTGAAATAATAATTTGGCTGACCCCCAACTTCTCTTCCCAAACACCAGATAGGGCCTTGAAATTTCAACCATTGGTGAAAACCCGTGTAGTTCTCCATTTGTTTGTGTATAATGTACATGTTAGTCAGAAGTGCTCTTATTCATCAGTAATGTGAAATTTCTCTTAAATTATTTGTAAGGTAACCTTCATCACTTGCATATCTCATTTATTAGGTACAACAAACATTTCTTTTCAGAATTCTATTAGCAGATGGAGTACTACGGTCCAAGAAGAATCCCCCTCTCAATTGGCTTGAACACTAACCAATCTTTTCATCTTGATCTTTCCCAAATCCTAAGTTGATTCTGTCAATTGTAGCAATAAGATATTGATGTATAATATGTTCAGGGCTCATATCCTGTGTACACCTACCCTAAAGTAAAATGGGCTAGGATGAATAGGTAATCTATTATCTGAAGCAGACAAATATGACTAAATATTCATTTTGGGCAAAAGTAAACCCCCTATCTTGCCATGGTTGTTAAAATGGACTATATCATTTTTATCAATGTGATAACAATGAAGTTTGGATCACGCATCACCATTGACTCCCTTGGAATGGAAATGGAATTCTCATCTACTTAAGGAATTCTATTCCCTCATTTGAGGAAAGGGGGTTTCACGTAGATGGTAAACTTCCAAAGTGAAGGGACACAAATAGGATGTTCCTTATTTTAATCAGGATAGTTCCAAACTATGAATTCCATTTTAACAATCTATCCTCCAATGATAGTATTACACTATTACCATTAGGAGTACTTTTAGAACAATAACAGAAGATAAATATGACCAACATGAATGGTAAAGAGTTTTGCATGTCATCTCATAATAGCAAGAGGTACACCCTATAACATGCTTCTCACTCTAACATCATTTTCTATTCTCCCATTGAATATTGTCTGGAGTATTTCTGCTGCAAGATTTTACAAAACCTATCAGACTTACACCATGTTCCAAGATTTCAAAACCAAGTAGAGATGAATCATTTTAATATATATAGACAAGGCAATGATGAAATAAAAAAAACTTCAACAAGAAGTTGCCAATCTCAAGCAATGAGATTGGTCAACTACAGCCTATTGTAATAAGTTGCATGTCATATCGATAACCTAGAGCTTGGTCTCCTTTTGTATTTACAATAACACCTTCAATACTTTCTTGATAACTTGTAATAATGGCTTAGAGTTGTAATAATGGCTTAGATTTAAAAGGAAAAATTCACAAAATCCATGTGGAGATGGTCTAAATCTTCATTCCATCAACCCAAGGTTTCAAAAAACGCTAGGCGGCCAGAACCTCGGGCGCCCATAATTTAAAAAAAACGAAAAAACGCCTAGCCCGCCTGGGCGCCCACCCAGGTACATCCGCCCGTGTAGGGCCACCTGAGTCTAGGCGGGCAGATTTTTGGTCCAGGCCGCCTAGGCGCCAGGCGGACCGTTTTTTAAAACATTGCATCAACCGTACCCTACTTGTCTGCCATCAAATGGGCCCTCCTACGTCCAAGGCAAGCACAAATAACGCAAGAATTGACCCCAGATCAACTTAAAATATTACCAGTGTTTCTGTTATTGTTTTCACAGTGAATGAGGATCCTTCCAACTGAACTATGAGAGAAGTTTCAATTCTACTAGTAGCTGCATTGGAAATAGGGACTTGAAAATGGTGGAGATTCCATAGATACCCATTATGGTTCTTCCTACCATATCGGTGCTGACCATAATTATTTCACAACAACATAGCCAAAGAGTTATGCGAGTAATCATTGGCTTTTTGGGTTCCAATGCCAAATTTAATAACCTAAGTCATTGGTGGTCTATGAAGGGAGAAGCCAGTAATAATAATAGGTGATAAGGCACGACCATGCAGACCCTGCATACATAATGATAAGGTCCAACATAATTTCCTATGAAGAAGGGAAGTCCATGAAAGGAGGAATTATATAGAAAAAGGAGAGGATTCATATCAACAGCCACTTAAAGGAGCCCACATCTTAGACTTGAAAGGCTACTAGATACTTCGTCCAGAATTTGGTATGGACATAGGCATATGGTCACAGATTTTGGAGGAGTGCACGTGTACTTTGGAAATGAAAACTGTCAATTTTGAAGGGAAAATAATTTCTTGGGAGTTCTTTTTCCAGAATATGAAATAGTAATCATCAAAAGAAATGGAAATTGAATAATTGTTTTGTAGTTCAAGGATGGGATGTGGCATCGAAATAATGCCACCCCACAACGATTTGATAAGGAGAGATAGCATCAGTTAAGTCCTTAAGTTTACTCCGTCTTCTTTCTATAAATAGAGAAGAGGAAACAGAATGCTTCAAAACTTGAAGCCTTTGAGGATCTATAAATAGAGAAGGAAACAGAATGCTTCAAAACTTGAAGCCTTTTGAGGATCTTCTTGGTTCCGTTATTATATGAGTTTGTGAGTGGGAACATTGAGAAGGTTCTAGCAAGAAAAGGTTTAGCTCAAGGAGAGGCTCCTCAAATAATACCACCTTTCAAAGCAGGTTCTAATGATAAACTATTAACTGTTTGTGATCTTCATAGTGGATCGTATCCAATAACTATTTGTTTCCTTAAATTGTTCCTTTAACTGTAATTTATTTCTGCTTATTTACTAATTTATCATCAATCATATGATTGAAAAGAACTTCGGGAAGGAGAAAATAAATGGACCTTACAACCTCACATTTGATTTCAGGTGTATAAAAGATTAGTATATGCAATATGACAACCAAAAACATATACAATTTGTAGGTTAATCATAACAAATCACTTTATATTTACACAACTAAATGAGAAATATTAAAAAACAATCAGACCCCCAAATGAATGCATCAGATTAAGCTATAATCCATCATATAAAATCCACCTACCAGAAATAGACCAAAGCTGGTTCACTGAATTCTATGCCTCCTGATATTATATACCGTTGTCAGTATCATTTCCTGTATCTTCGAAGAATTTGTCTCCCTTACAACTTGTGAAACCTGTTGTAGACTTCTAAGTCCTTGGCCCAAGGATGCAATTGTGGAAGCCACCGGTAGAGACTCAAGGGCACATTCAATCCCATCACCATACATTATCAGCCCTGTGCCAGCAGCCACGCTGCACCCAAAAGTGGCCCAAGGTGTAAGCCCAATAGGGTGCCCTCTCCTTTTCTTCATAATCCCATATATAGCTGTCCTCATAGCTGCTAAGCTCGCCCTCTCAGCCGAAGCTATGACACTATGAGCCACTGCTCTAATTTTCTCAGCTGAAGCTGCTGCCTTCATAGCCGGGGTAGCCTTGGCTCCTGAGCTCACAGCACCAGGCATGGCTGCCTTCAGTGGAGCAACCACTTTGGAAGGGCTCAGGATCTTACTAAGAGTAACCATTGCAGTTCTTTGAGCTTGAGCAAATCCAAGTTTAAGAGAAGCTGGAAATTTGTAAGTGAGCAACTTCATGAAAGTAGATGCAGGAGCTGCTTTAGAGAGCGAAGAGACCCCAATAACCGCTGTTGCTCCTGCCCCAACTGCCACCACAGGCTTATCTACTAAACTGCTTTTCTTCTCTGAATTATCATTAGGACCCTCACCACCAAGTTCATCGGCTGCGAATAACTGCGCAGTTGATTCTGCAATTTCAGGGGGTAAAGACGTGTTCCAGTGCCTTCTTATGCCTGCCAAACTGCTAGCATCAACAACTGCAACCAATGATTTGCACTTTTTGGCCTGGTTTCTTAGGGATTGGGCAAAAAGAGCATTGCATTTCTCTTCTTGGCTGAGACCTGAATACTCAACATTTGACATGCTCTGTTGCCTCTTGTTAGTACTGCTTATTATGTATCTTAGCCCTTCGACTGCAACTCTGAACTTGTGAACTTCAGAGAGTATTTGGCTATGCACATCTTCACCTCTATTGACATGGTCGAGCATCTTTTGAGCATAAACCAGCATTGTCCTCATGGCCGGAATATCAGCATATATATCATGCAAATCAGTTAATAAGCCGTAAAAGGATTGGGCAAATGGAGGGGCTTCATAATTGTTTCTCAATTCAGAGGTACTTGCCAAGGAATCTGAAGACCCCGATTCAACTAATGCTACAGATGAAACTAACGGTCTAACCATTGCATGTTCAGCTAAATTTGCAACGCAAAACCTCTTGTAACCCAATGAAACGGCACCACTTGCATGAGATATCAATCTTCCTGGTACCAAACCAGTAGGTGGGAGGAGCTTTGAAGAAGAAGCCCCCTTCTGAGCATCAGAACCCAAGTTACCACTATTACTCATGTCTTCTCCTTCACTCTCACAATGCCCAATAGAGCTCCTTAGAGGAGATTCAAGAAAAAGAAAGCAAGAATTGACCTCCTTTGCTGCAGTCTTAGCAGCCAATACATGTCCATAAAACCCAACACCAAAGATCTCTTTCAGAACTTGAAACCCAGCTAATTCTTCGTAGTGTGGTTTGCTAATTTTCTCCATGAAACACACCTTCAGAACCTCCCAACGTGAAGTGGGTATTGAAGAAATCGAAGACTTGCTTAATTCAGATTGAATATCTTCCAATGCATAAGGTGATATTTGGGCTACCACAGCTTGGGGCCGAGTTGCCTTGATTAAGCATTCAGCATCGCCAGCGGAGCACTCTGATAGGATTTGAGCAGCGAGTATGTATACTGTGGATTGGGACTCTGGTTCATAGATTGCGAACACAAAATGTTTGGTGTGGTCAGGGATTGAAAGGCCCTGAACTATGCGGTTTGAGTCCCACAAATCTTTGTCGGCCCAAAGCAGCCACAGATTTTGCAGGCTCGAGAAGAAAGTGAGTGCCATGATTGACATTCAACTGAAAACATCTAAAATTCACAAAAGAACATAGGCCTAAGTGCAATGAAATTTGAACCCAAATATGATAATTATTCAGGATGAAATACTTCCGGGATATATCCAATTTTTACTTGAAATTGTGTTCGATCTTATGCAAAGAATGGCAGTCATTCCAAGGTTTTCACTTATATACTAAAAGGATTCAAAACGCACCAAATTATCCAGATTTCTGATAACTGTCCTTTTACTCATAAGAAATGAAAAACTGAGTTGTACATATTCCGGGGAAAAAGCATCCACGAAGACTCTATGCGAGCCAAAGATAGTGAAAATATAACAACCGGAAAAGGATATGTAGAAATAAACAAAACTAACTGAGTAAGCAGGAAAGAAAACAAGTATGAAATTGTCAGATACATCCAATTCTTAAATGTACTTCAATAAGATTTGAACCTAAATAATAATAATTGTGAAGAAAGAAACGCTTGCTAAATACATCTAATTATATTATGATTTTCCTGAAAACAATATAAACTTTTATGGAGAGATTGGCATTCTTTGGGGGATTTTTGCTAATAAACATACTAGAATGATTTCAAAATGCACCAGAATGTCCCTGTTTCTGAGAATTATGCTTTTTCTCAGAGGAAATAGTGAACCCAAGTATTCGAAATAAATATTTCTGCAAAATGAAAGAAAAAAAAGGAACCATGAAGGCAAAAAAAGGAACCATGAAGGCTCTATGCTAACCAAACACCACAGGATATAAAAACCCATAAAACGAATTAGCAATAAGTAGAAAGCAAATAGCATAGTATAAATATAACGCATAGGAACCTTCAATTAACCCTAGGAAAACACTAATAGATAAGAAAGATAAAAGGAAAAGACAGAAAGAAAGAAATTACGCACCAGAGATGTAGAGAGAGAGAGAGAGAGAGAGAGAGAGAGAGAGAGACAATATACTTTTAAAATTAGAATGAGCAGTGAACTCAATTAAACAAAAAAAAAAAAACTTAAAACGTTAAGGTACGTAAGAAAAGGAACAATACAAGAAGCGACATATACGAACAAACTAACT